GCTTGGATGGGGATGGGTTGGGGTTGGAGCTGGGGCTGGGGTTGGGGCTCGGGCTGGGGCTGGGGCTGGATTGGTTTGGTTTGGCCGCCGCCGCCTCAGCGGTGGATTCGTGCAGAAATTTCTGCAACGCATCGAAATAGTTGCAAGGCAAAGTCTCTGGCTGCTGCTGTTGCAAGTTCCATATTCATCAGATGCGACACTCTTCATTCTTGGTGTTGTGTTGTGTCGTTGTCGTTGTCGTTGGTTGGCTTTGCTTTGCCTTTGCCTTGTCTTGTAGTTTTTCGTTGGCTGTTTTTCTATCGAAAACCAAACTGGATTTCGTCTTAAATGATGCGCTGCCATTGCCATTGCCATTGCCATTGCATTTTAATTAAGTGCATTTTAATGAGGCACCATAATGATCATCATCGACTTTTAAATGGCCTGCCAATGGCTGGGAAGTATCCCAGGAAGCCGCACATTCATTCCATTTCAGTTCTCAGATCTCTACTCTGGGTTTAAGCTTCTTTCAGCTAATTATTGGGACTATTTTGATTGGTCTCTATGAAAAAATATGCTGAAATTGTTGGTTTTTGAGTCCATTGAGGGCTAGGATGGCAGCCTGTATCGATTTGCCAGATCGAAGGAGGTTTATTTAGGGCCTTGAGCCCTTTGGTTACTCGGAGACCTCATTTAATCTAAGCCTATGACGACTTTGGAGCCCCAAATGTGAGTGAATCTGTTGAACCTTCAGGCCAAAAGGGGCAAAAAGTTGTTCCATTTTGTTCAAATTGCGTAATTTACATTAGTTTGCTGCATTTCCAGACAAATTAAGAGCTCCCCAGCCCCTCCCCCCCTCGTCACTGTCGAGTGCAACCAGCCAAAGTGCGTATCTGTGAGATACGCATGCAAATCCTGCTGTTGCCTGCAGGACTACCCTCCACTGCTGCTGTGGTTTTTCAATTTCTCTCTCAATTTTTTTTATTTTTTTTCCAGCCTTTTTGTACGCAAATAATTGTGAATTTTTTCCCTCGCCGTATTTTTGTTGGCAGTGGGCTTATTGTTTGGTCTTTTTTCTATGCACACACATATATATATATTTTATTTTTAATTAAAAGCGGAAGTTGAGGGCGGGGGCAGGGATGATACATCCATCTGATGGCTGGGATTGGTTGAGTTTAGGTTCGGTTTAGGGTTTGGGTTTGGGTTTGGGTTCGGGTTTGGTTTGGTGACTCGTCAAGTGCGTGGGTGCGTGGGCTGCGTGGGCTGCGTGGCACTGCCGGGCACTTTGGCCATTCCATTTCCATTTCCATTCCTATGGGCTGTTGTGTAGTGTTTTGCTAACAATGCGAATTTCAGGGCATTGTTGCTGCCTCCAGTCCTTACACACACACACACAGGCATGCATGTATAGACAGACGCATCAAATCATCAGCGGCGATTTCAGACAGTCATCAGATGAAATGTCAAATGCGCTCCCAGTCGTTCCTGCCACACAGCCAAGTGGGCAAACAGAGGCGCAGCCACTGGTAATGTTAGATGCCACAGCTCCTGGTTGCTGTTGATAGATGACACTGCCACTGCCACTGCCACTGCTTAGGAGAGCTCAAACTAAACCAAACTCAACAACAATAAAAACATGGCAACAATCCACAAACTGAAGAGTTTTTCAAATAACGAAAAAAAAAACGAGAAGAAGAAGAAAAAAAAAACAACCAACGCCAGTGAGTGGGTGAGTGAGAGCGGAAAAAAGGGGGAAAAATCGAGAAAATTAAAACAAAACAAACAGCAAACGCATCATCCAGTGGATCCACATCATCATCATCCTCAGCCCTGCTCTGTCCTGCCCTGCCCTGCCCTGCCCTGTTCTTGTCCTGTTCCTGTTCCACGCATGAGGAGATTTCGGTTTAGCTTTTGATTGACGAACTTGGCTCGTTGTTTGTCCCTTTCCCTGTCCCTGTCTCCTCCCTTGCCTGCCAGCCACTGACGCTTTTCACTCAAACCCATCAACGTCAGCGACGCATTCAAATCGTTTTGATGGACTCACCCACCCATCTCCCACCCATATCGTACTCACGCAGGGAATCATAGCACAAGAACAAAACAAGGCACAAAAACGAAAAAAGGCTAGAATGATGCGATTTCAAATACCGACTAAAAGATACCCAGGATTACAGAAGAGTTTCGATAAAAATTGCTAAAGAATTATGCGAGGATCAAGGGGTAAGAGAGCCCAGGCAGGCAGCTCTTGATAATGATTGATAAATCACAAGTTTTGAATGGACTTTCCACCAAAAAAAAATATAGGTTGAGGGCCTGGATGAGTAGATCTCTTCCTCTTACTTGTAATGTGCTAAATTCGCCCCAAATCTTTTTTAAAAATAAAAAGAAAGGCGCACCTTTGCGACTTGGCGGACTTTTACGGTTTTAGTTTCTACTCCACATCCACAAAGCGTATAACCACAAATATTGATGAATTCAAAAGAGAATTGTACAAACTTACACAGGATTTTTTAAAACGTGTCGATAAAGCATCTATACCTAAAGATATGGCCGCCCAAAGTAAAAGTTTATGCCTTCGAACATGCCCTTATACAGGGTACAACAAAAAAATGGGGGAAAAATGCTATGAGAGTATGAGCCTGGCACAATATTTGTATTTTACGCAATTTTTACTGACTGACTGACAGGAGTGGAAGGGGGGGAGTGGAGTGGGGGGGGGGGGTCCGTTACCGTTACTGGCTGTCGGCTGTCGACTGATTTGCAAACCGATTTGCTACTTTGTTCATGTCAGTCCGTGCATTAGAGGCTGGGTTGGGGATGTGGTAGGGGTGGGGTGGGGCACTAAGCCCCCCCACACATGTTTGCCCAGCCATTCATTGTCTTTCGGTTTTTTTTTTGCTGATTGAAAGTTTTTGCGACAATTGTTGTGGCGTCATTAGGAAATGTGGTCCAGAGTCTAATTAAACAAAATGCCTATGCAATATACAGATGCACTCCCTGGAGGACTCTGTTTCATGTATTCATAATCCACTCTTAATTTGCATTTATATGCCAGGCTGTGGCATTACGTATACGCACCGTTTGCCCATTATTCAGTCTATTCACAGCTTCCTCGCGGCTCGCGGCTCGCCTTTCCCTTTGGGGCATTATTCGCTTAGTTATTTCCACTGCAACGCCTTTTCACAGTTAATTTGCGATAAAATATGCCAGTATGCCGTCACGGTTGCATACCCTTTCCCAGAGGGCACCACGATTTCCCTTCTGAAGGAACGGCTCTCTGTGCCCTCCTTATCTTCTTGTGGCAATTAAATTAGCCAGCAGTAAAGTTGCCTCGTCTCGGCTGTGGCAAGGATTCTGTGTGGCAGAGAGACGCAGAGGCCCTGGCTAAACTGTTGCCAAAAAGTTTTAAGCTGCATTTTACAGGGCTGCTTTCACACCCGAACAAAGTTTTCGAGTGGCGCTTGTCTTGTGTTTTGATCTTCTCATGGCCATAATCTGTGATGGCTGCCAGCCAGCTTTGGCACCCACAAAAAGTTTTGCATATTTTGGCCATGTTTCGGGCAGACTATTACCCCCAAAACTTGTTGCTAAGGCCAACATGTTGCAGCTGTCTGTGGCTGTGTGCACTTGTTGCACACACACACACAGGCAGTGTTTTGACTGCCAGATGCCACAGCTCGTTATTTGGCTCATGTCCTTGTGGCCGGTTTGGGTCAACATCAGGCCAGGCAGCCCGGCAGACAGGCTCTGTGAGTGCTTGTGTTTCGGCATTTGAATGTGGTGTAGTGGGATAATTGAAAACACATTGGGGTCGTTTAGGGACACTTGTCGGGTGTCATTTACATCTAATTAGTTAGAGAGACCATTCAGGAGCGCATCCACACCAGGAGACCTACCTCCACTGCCGGGGATTGAGGGGAAACCGAGGCAGGCCAAGTGCAGGTCATCCAGCATGTGGTTCATGATGGTGCCATAAATATCATCATACCATCACTATGGTGTGTGGACACAAATGCACTCTTAGCTGGACGTTGCATATCGTTTATTTAGTGCATCTCAATCCCATATTTATTTGGGATATTTACGAGATCTCAACCACTTATTTATTTGGGTATTCCCAGCACCTAATGGCTTGATGTTTACTTAGGTCTAGCCTTTCGATTTGTACAGCTGGGCAGCGGTACTCGAAGAGTTTAGAGGTACATTAGTTTACTGGTGTGTAACACCTAGAAGGAAGCGTTTCCGAACCCATAAACTATATATATTCGTGGTCAGCATTAATAACCGAGTCGATATAGTCAAGTCTGTTTGTTCCTCTTGAAGATTTTAGGATTAACACCCAGAAGGAAGCGTTTGCGAACCCATAAAGCATATATTCGTGATCAGCATCAGTAACTGAGTCGATATAGTCAAGTCTGCTTGTCCCTCTTGAAGAGTTTAGGGGTACATTAGTTTTCTGGTGTGTAACACCTAAAAGGAAGCGTTTCCGAACCCGTAAAGTATACATATTCGTGTTTAGCATCACTAACCGAGTCGATATAGTCAGGTCTGTCTGACCCTCTAAATCTCAGAGACTATGAGAGAAGGTCAAACCAGATTTTGTAATGCCTGTAACAAGTCTATCAGAACCGGTTATAACAGTAGAGCCTCGGCCCTTGCCGCGGCTCACAAGATTCCCTCCCTCTTTTGTTGAAATATCAAAAATTAGTTTCTAAAAGGTCTCGCCAGATATCGATGGGTAATCTGATACCCACACGTTGATATTCAGATTCGAAAGGACGTCATGCAAATCCATTGAAGTCTCTTCAATTACTCTTCCCATCACCGTTCGTCTTTTCAGTTATTTGTTTTGTTCCACTCAATCTCAATCCGCAGCGTGTAAGACAGACAAAGAGAAAGACCCCGAGAGGGAGGAGGGGGGTAGAGAGGTAAGCAACCGAAGCGAGACAAAACCGAATCGCGGCTATAATAGCCGCATCGCCCCGGGCGGGGTAAACCAGTAGCAATAGCCAAGTGGACTCGCGCACATCGTCTGGAAATGATTCCGATTCGGAATTCACTGCCTTTTGCCACGTTGCTGCTGCTGCTGCTGCTGCTCTTGGCCACGGCCAAGGCCAGGGCCAGGCCCAATGAAGCGACAGGTGAGGCGAGTCTCTACAACGAGGCTGACAACGTGATCAATGCGGACACCAATACACTGCGCGACCATCTGGCGACAGTACCAAAGGGCAAGCTGGTGCAGTTCATAAACATCTTCTGCGGCGACTGCCAACGCTTTGCGCCCACCTTCAAGGACGTGGCACGCGACCTGTACAAGTGGCAGCGCGTGCTCAGCATTTATGCCGTCGACTGTGCCCAGGAGAAGAACGTGCAGATCTGTCGCGACTTTCAGGTCCTTAAGACCCCGACGCTGCGCTACTTTCCGGTATACACTGGCAACGGGACAGGCATCGACATACCCACTGTCAAACCCAACGAAATTAAAGACCTGTTGGCCGGGTATTTGGCCAAAGACATGAACTGGAACTTGCTGTACTTTGACCCCCTCAGATCCGACAGCAATGCGAAAACAACAATCGGAGATCACAAAGGTCCTGGCCAAGCCGCGGAGTACATTGCACTCGTCCTACAGCCGAAGGGCTCGAACATTGGCAGAGACACGATCTTCGAACTGCTACCGCATCCCGCGGTGGTCGTACGCCTTGTCGATGATGCCCAGACCTTTGCCAACTTCGGTCTGACGCCCCAAGGTCAGAAGTTGGCCATCTTGGACTTGGCCGGCAACGTCCAGGCGCTGAAGGCCGCCCAAGAAACGAGCCAGGCTTATGCGGCCAGCATTGCCGAGTATCTCGGCCAAAAGGGCCACACTCCCGTGCCCCCACTGCCCACGACTGTGGCACCGAAAGTGCGCACTGTCCGGAACAAGGAGCAGCAGGCAATCCTGGCCACTGTGCTGCGAAGCGGACCGGCCAAGATCTATCGAGCCGATCTGGAGCAGGCCATCGACAAACTGCTGCACGTAGAGCTGCCAAAGGCAGACCTCATACAGGGCAGCAATCTGACGGCCCTGCGGGACATTATCGCCGTCCTGAGACACCTCAATCCCCTGAACAATAACGGCCAGGAGCTGCTCACGAACCTCCATGGGTTCCTGCTCCCCATCAACCGCCTGACGGGCAGCGAATTCGCGGACCTGGTCAAGTCCACAGAGAAGAAGCTGGAGGGGAATGTGTTCAAGGCGAAGCGCTATGTTGGTTGCATTGCCTCGCGTCCCTTCCTGCGCGGCTTCACCTGCTCCCTGTGGACGCTGTTCCACTACCTCACAGTCGCGGCGGCAAAGCCACCGTACTACCTTCAGGCCGGATCCGTGCTCTCGGCCATACACGGCTTTGCCAAGCACTTCTTCGGCTGCCGGGACTGTGCCGATCATTTCCTGGCTTTGGCAGAGCGCAAACACATCGAGCGGGTGACGGACTACGATGCCGAGATCCTCTGGCTGTGGGAGGCCCACAACGAGGTCAACAAGCGTTTGGCCGGCGACACCACCGAGGATCCCAAGTTCCCGAAGATACAGTTTCCCAGCAAAAAGTATTGCCCCGCCTGCACCAATGAGAATTCCCAGTGGAATCGCACTGAAGTCTTGAAATATCTGAAGATTATCTACGACAATAAGAACTTGAGCCCGTACGGTCTGCCCACCACAAGGGGATACCCATGAATACGGCTACTAGAAACCTCGTAAAACCAATCATAATATGTAAGAGAACAGGCCGGGAATAAAGAGTAATATTCAAGAAACCATTATCCATGAAAGAGTATTCATTTGTGCTACCCAATCACCAGCATTTGGCATCGACTAGAAATAAGAACTGGCAGAAAGAGCCCAGTCCAGTACTGAATCATTTTGCATTCGTTTCATTGATTGGATCCGCCCAAAAACATGGCTGGAGGCTGCGCTGAAATCTCTTTAGTTGAAACACAAACCTGCAGCTCAACGTTTCGGTTATGAAAATCGTAATCAAGTTCTTGGCTTATTTTGGCCTGTCAGGAGCTATTGTCCAGGGCCGCCAAGCAAGTATCCTTCAGTACACGACAGAGGATAACATTTTTCTGGACTCGAATCTCGATGATCTCTTGGCCAACAATCCCCTGAATGCCGTTGTCTTCTACAGTCATTCCAAAAGCGACCCAGTTATACTGAAGGAAACTGTTGAGAGTCTGCTCGTGTTAAGGCGTCTCCTCAACGTCTATATGCTGAAATGCAATGTGGAAGTCAATAAGAAGACCTGTGCCGACTACCACATGGAAAGTTCACATGGAATGCGATACTTTCGCCGACGATTTCCTATTCGCCAGGGCAAAAAAGGCTTAGAAATCCCGATGGACACGCCCCTACAAATTACCGATTCCGTGTGGAACGTCATGTCCAGACAGGAGCTGCCACTGCCAGATGGTTCTCCAAACTTCCGACCCATCGGCCCTCACGACGACTACAAATCGCTCTTCGATCAGGCCGTCCTCAGCCACTTTACCCATCTGGTGCTTGTCGAACAGATTGAACACTACTCGAAGCTGGGCCGTGACACAATCTTGGCTCTGCTGAGCCTGGACAATGTGACTGTACGAATCGTAATGAATCCGTATTTTTTCGAACATTTCGATCTGAAATTCGATCCAGGAGAGGACAAATTGGGCATCATTGATCGAAAGGGCCGGGCGGTGGTCCTGCATCCGAAAGAGACGAATGGTTTAGCTTTTGCCGAGGCCGTTGTTAGCTATTTGGAAGCTAAAGGGTTAATTTAAGGAAAGATCAAATAAAATGAATCTCAAGAAAACTTGAAGAGAGCCTGGAGCCACCCTGGAAGTACCAAAGAAATGTATGGGCGTTACTTCCATCAAACTATTTCTGGCCTCCCTTGGCTCGGTTTCAGGTTTCACAGTGTGATATGAAAATTGCATAAATTGACTAAATTAAGCGCTTAAGTTAAATGGAGCGTCAAGGAAGAGTCCAATACCAATCGCTGCCACAAGGCGCCATCGTGGAGGGGGGGGGACGCACATCAGGCCGACCTGTACATGAATTATTTATAGAACATTTTTGCAAAATATCTACGCACTAATTTGCGTAAAGTAATCGATGTGGTGGAAAAATTTTCACGCATGCACACATGAGAGGGGCGACGGTGACGTGACCCGGGCCTCATGCGGCCGGCTCACCTGACAAATGGACTGACTATTTGGGGGAGTGGGCCCCAGGTTGCCGGTGCCGCTGGGTGGCAGGGGGCGGTCGTTCAGTCATGCCCAAATAACGCCAACAGCAAACGGAAGCTAAAAATTACCAGCAATACCCAGGAGGGACCCAGAAGCAGGACCCACAGCACAGCAACTGCAACGCCCACAAAACTTTCTTCATTGTGCGTAAATTGGCACCCCTCAAACAAGCCCCAGACCCAGGCCCAGACCCAACCTCCCTAATCGACGCACTCACTTTGCCCTTATGTAATGATGTGTATGTAAAATTTATAATATGCATAAATAAATAAAATGCACGCAGTCAAAAGAAGTGAATCGCGGGCAAGAGGTTTGAGGTTAGGGCAGGGGTTGGGTGGGCTTTGAGGTTAGGTTTTGAGGCGGGGCGGTGTCAGTGTGCAGCTTATCGATATTTTTCACTCCTCACCCATCGATGGCCGCCTTACACAACCTGCTGGGCGGCAGGCCCGAGTTTGGGGGCCAAATGGCAAATGGCGTCGGCCCGTGCACAACTGTACCGCGCGAGTACGCATGAATTTTGTGCGTGTGCCTTGAAAATTGAAGGTTCCCGTCCAGCGTGGAGGCCGTAAATTTTGCGAGCGTGCACGCACAGATATCTCGGCACCGGAAACCGGAAACCAGCGCCCATTTTGTAGCATTGCCATTGCAATCCATTTATCTTGGCCTCCGAAATGCGTAAAATATAGACAAAATGTGTCTTGGCTCTAATAGCAAACGGATATTGTGGCTTTTGCTTTATGAATTTCTAGATAGTCTTTCTAGACGGTCGAGAAGAAGTCCAGAGCCCTCCTCGCCCGGAAGCCCTCTAATTGGGCGTTTGCTGGGGTCCAAATCATTTGCATAACGTAATTGCCAGCTCGAAAAGAGATTACCCCTAACCTGGCTCTCTCTGACATGGCATGACTGGGTTTTGGCATGCATTAACCAAAAACAATAACCCCGTCCAGAATTGTGCACAAATTATTGTTTAGGCATTTAAATTACAAAAGAAACGCAACGAAAAAAAGGGAATTACGAAAGCAATAAAATGCCAGCTGAAGAAGCATCAGCTGTAATCGTGGTGGGGGGGAGCCCAGGCCCCTCGTTGTTATAATTATGTAAAAACAGTCTAAAGATTGACTTGACTTCTGCAAACACACACACACACACACACACACACACCGCTGCACCTTGCCAGCGCATGCGAAGCCAACATAAATTTGTGGCATAGAAGTCGGAGGCACACAGAGATGTGTCGAGGGTGGGGGGGGGGGGTGTTGCAGCAGCAACCTGGTAATTATCAGAGCCTTAGCGGCAAAGGCAACATTGTGTCTGTCTGCTGCGTCGACAAGGCGGCTACCGTTCCTGCACTTCCCATCCCCCCACCCCTCCCCACCCACAGGCCCGCCATCTCCGAATACACGCAAAAAATGTAAAGTGAAAATATTTTTTTTTTTATTTTTAAGCCACTTGCGGGTGAATGGATGCAACGGAGCAGGTGGGCCGGGGTTGGAGTTTGGATCAAATGGGCGGGCACCGCAATTTGCCGTTGGCTGGAGGGCACTCCCTCCCCCTCCCACCCTGCACCACACCACACCACATTTTCTATGCCGAACTTGAGCATTTTACTATGTAGCTACATATAATTAAAAAAATTATGAATAGAAAAGATGGTAACGAAAAAAACCCGAGAAGAACAACAGGCCAGAACCCAGGGCTGGAAAATATGTTGATTAATGGATGGATACCATCGAAAGGCAGGCAACAAAATCTATCTATATCCAGCGCTGGAAAAATGTGGACTAATGGATGGATACCATGTGCTATACAGAAGAAGAGGCAGGCAGGAAATTTGTGATTAAAAACCCATACAAAATTAAGAATAAAATGAAGTGCCCAATAAAATATATGTTCCTCTTTAGGGATACAATTTTCTATACAAAAAATACGGGAATGAAGGAAGAACTTTTAAAATCCAGAACTCAACGAAATCCCTCATTAAAAAACATGTCTCCAGCCATATTTATCCCACTTATAAAAGGCTAATACTGGCATACAACAAAACCGAATGCAATTTGGCAGAAATTTTCCCAAACTTTGTTGCCGGCCCTCAGGGACCCCTCTGCCTCTCGCCCTGGCCACAATTTGCGGCATCGTGTAATTAAAACAATTTATGTATAATTTTTGTACAAGTGCAGTCCAAAGCCGCCCCCAATCGCCATCTCCATGGCTGGGCTTTTAAATAATAATTTGCTTAGTTTATGAAGTGCCATAGTGTGCGTGTGCGTGTGCGTGTGCCTGTGCGTGTGCCTGTGCGTGAGCGTGTGTGTGTGTGTGTGTGTGTGTCTCCCACTCGGCCGCCGCTACACTGACAAAAACAAAGACCTCACATATCCAATCAGAATGCTGTTCTCTGTGGGTTTTTCTCCAGTGCAGTGCAACACAGTGGCTCCACAATTTACTCACTTGGTTGCATTTGAAAATATTTCGTTACGTTTTTGCTGCCAGCCAGAGAGTCAATTGTTGTTGTTTTTTCAGTTGGCTGGCATGTGTTTTTGTTGCGCCTTTTTTTTTTGTGCGCCTGTTGTTTTTGTTGCACTTACCTTAGGTTTAATTTGTTTGAGTTTCATGCAACAGAAGCAGCTTCTGTGGCGGGATTTCATGTGCATCTGCTGCTCTAGCTGCTGGCTTCTTTCTCTCAAGTCGAAAAATATTTGTGCACGCAAAAAATGTTAATTGCCACAGAGTAAGGCAGAGAGGCAGTCGGCAGGCAGGCAACATCAGCAAAAAGCGAACCATCAATGTGGCCGGGGCATTAAAATATTTAGGTTGCTATTGCTGCTGCTTCTTGCAACTCTTCCCAGTCCCAGGCCCAGGCCGTAGTCCCCAATCCCAGTCTCAGACTCAAACCCTACCTCCACCGAAGCCCAGTCAGTCAGCGCTCGGTCCCTGCCACAGCCGTTAATGCAACTGCAACTGTAACAAATTGCAATGTCGCACATCTGTCTTGGCTGGCGTTTGTCGCTGCCCTGCCTAAAAAAAAAAACGGCCTGGGCCCAGAGACAGAGCCAGAGACAGAGACCTTAGACCAGGTTCAGGTCCAGCCGTGGACTCATATTTATTTTTGCTAAAACTGCAACAAAAAACTGTCGTTCTCCTGGTTGTAGTCGTGGCTGCTGCTCTTTCTGGCTGTGGCATTGGCAATGCCAATTACCGGCGGCCGGGAACCCTAGCAATTTGGTCATATCCGGCCCCCATGGCCGGCATGGGCTGGGATGTTTGGCTGGGGCCCCCAAAGGAAAAATCAGGTTTTTCCTTCACTTGTTCAACAAAATAAAATATGTCGGCAGCATCTTGATTTTTTACAGATTTTTCTCTCCTCCTCCTCCTCCTCACCTCCAGGAGTTTTTCCTGTTTTTTTTTTTTAGAGATCATAAAAAAATAATAGAAAAGAGATTCAATTTGAGACGGAAAATGGTTAAATTTGATTTGATATTTGTTTCAGGAAGAGAGCTGCCAAAGCAAACCAAATCAAGGGTATTTAGCCAAGACAC